ATCCCATGGGGCAACTGGACACAGATCCAGCAACTGCCAGCAGATGTTTATGTTGGAAATGTGGTCAAGGGACAAAAATTCAAACCAATGGAAGGATCTGAAAGCAATTGACACATGGCTCAGAATTAATTTTAGAAATTCTTCTAATTAAACTGGAAGAAAGATGGGAGGAGGGAACAGTAAAGGAACTCAACAGAGGAAATCCTCTCAACCCTGCCAGACATTTCTTTTTATTCTTCTCTTTTTATGTTCAAACCTCTTTTCTTTCTTTATAGTTAATTTAAGTGCTTTAAGAGATCAAGTGTGTTTCTTTTTCTTTTCAGTCATTGTGTCCTTTATCATTTTGCTTTAACTGAAATGATCTCAATCTTATTGTGTTTAATTATTGCTATATTTGGTCTCTAGGTGCTTATAGTATTACATTTTACTAGTCACATAGGGAATGGTTGTAAGAATCCTGTATTGAGAGTATTCTGTGTGGGTCTGTTATTTGATTTGTAAGATATCCAGTTCCATGGTATGTAGGGCACACTACAATGTGGGCTGCATGCTTTGGACCAAAAATTGAAGGAGAGGATTTGGCTAGGGCTAGAACGAGTGCCAGTTTGGTGTAGTGGTTAAGACGCCAGGCTAGGGACTGGGAGACTGTTAGTTCTAGTCCCATCTTGGGCATGAAGCCAGCTGGGTGACCTTGGGCCAGTCCCTCTCTCTCAGGCCCAGAAAGGAGGCCAGGGCAAACCGCTTCTGAAATCTTGCCAAGGAAACTGCAGGGACCACTCCAGGCAGTCACCAGGAGTCAACGCTGACTTGAAGGCACACACACACATGAAAATTAGTAGTAAGCTGAACAGCGAACAGATAAACCAGGCAGGATTTAGGTTGGATTCAGATTTAGGGATGTTCTAAGCAAAGCAAGGCAAACAAAATGAAAAACACTTTAAAAAAAACCTCATTTTTTTTCCATTCATAACTCATACCAACAGAACAAGGTTTTGTACACAACCTATTGCATATAGTTGTTTTTTTTAAGAAAAAGAAAGAAACCATAGGCTATTTCTGTGAACGCAAATTTCTTTGAACTTTTTTTAAGTATGAATTTCTGCAAAGCATTGTTTAAAAATGTAAATCTCCCCAAAATTTGATCTTGTTTTGAAATCCCTCTTTTTTGGTACTTTCAGAAACATAATTTCAGTAGAAATACTATTTTTGGAAGGGGAGCACATTTTTAGCTGGAAAGGTTGGATGTTTGCAGAGTTTATTCAGTGCTGGCATCTGGCCCATGGTGGAGTATGTTTCAGCAGATCTCAGAAATCTGATCCCAACAAAGTCAATGTTGGATTTAATTTATTTGCCTAATTGATGTTGCATCAAGTTTGTTGCCTTTTCAGTGCCCACTGGAAATCTTCTCTCTCCTACACATTTTAGGACCACGCTAGATTGGATTATTATTATTTTGGTAGACCTTGCAAATTTGCTTTTTATTCTAGGTTGGAACCACCCCATTGTTCTTGCTGGCCATTCATGAGAAAATTTGCTCTGATGTCAGTTGGAGTTTGAACAGCAAATAAACCTCTTTAAGATGTTTTAAATGGGAATAGTTTGTACAGATGTTTTAAATAAATAAATAAAGTGAGGGGGGAGAGAAGACAAAGGGTTTAAAAAATCAAGCATATCAGATTATGCCACTCATATCTAGGTTGGCTCTTATATTTCTTTTCATTGTTTTTTATCTATCCTGGTTGCTCTTTTGTTTTACATATTGCTGTCATGGCTTTAAAAATCAAGTGTTTTTTTTCTATTGGAATCATTTCTTTGAGTGTGCATGTATGTATCCTTGAGAAGCAAGGTATGAAATACCTATATAAATAAATCTATTTTTTAAAATATGCCCCACAAAGATGAGATGTAAATCAGCAGGAAATAGGCTATAAATCCACCTTCTTAAGAGTTCAAGAATCTCTCTTGTAACTTCAGAGCACTTTCAGGTATATGCTTTCTGTAAAGCAGTCTTCGAATATGGAAATAAAATCCAGTGGGACACAGGCTCTCATTTTAACAACAAAAGTTATAATATAGATGGTAGTTTTACTGAAATGTATCCCCACTTAGAGTTCTGCCACAATGGTGTCAGTTCAGGCTCTACACAGACAACTAAAATGCCTTAAAAAGAACAGCAGCAGAAAAACAACTCTCATAAAGGTGATACATTTTTATCATTAGAGGAGAGGGGGAAAAAAGGCAGAATGATTAGATTGATTGGAATGAGTACATTTCTAAAGATCCACACAGGAAAAGCTATGTCTGCATTTTGCTTAGGTCTTGTTTTTACTTCATCTAGAGCTGTCTTTTTGTGTGTGATGATGATGAAAAAAATTCAAAAAGTCTAACAAGTCAGAAGCACCTGGAAAGGCACAAGGGAAGAAAGCTTGTCATTGCTTTAAAGCCTGAATTTTGCAGCATCATCAGCTTTTGCTCTCTGCTCCTACAGCACTTGAAATTGCTGTACATTTGCCTCACCTATTTCTGAATAGGCTGCTAAGTTTATTTGAGAGATATGGGTTCCTACCAAGCAGTCTGTTGCAGCTTCAAAACTGGGTAGTATAATAATGCCCAGTACCTGAAAAAGCCATTAATTTGTAGTCTTTTGAGTCATCGGTGTGAGGATGTGCTATGCCATTCCCCCCCCCCCCATAGGAAAAGGTATTTCTGTA